TCTCAAAGCGGATGGAGCACTAGAGAGATAGCTCAGAAGCTAAAAGCACCTGCTGCTGTCAGACGCCCCGGGTTCAGTTCCCGGTATCCACATGGCAACTCACCGTATCTCTAACTACAGTTCCAGGGGATCTGACCCACCCTGTGGGCACTGCACGTGTGTGGTGTACAGACCTACATACAGGCAAAACACCCCCACACATAAAACAGAAATTAAAGGGAAAAGGTTGGTTTTGTGATTTTTTTTTTCTGTTTTTTTTTTTCAAGTCAGGGTTTCTCTATGTAACCCTGACTGCCCTGGAACTCACTCTGTAGACTAGGCTGGCCTCGAACTCACAGAGACCTACCTGCCTCTGCCTTTTGAGTGTTGAAATTAAAAGTGTGCATCAACACTGCTCCACTATTTTTTATATAAGTGGAAATGTTTAATGTGATTCATGCATACAGAAAAATACACAGTCAACCCTGAGCACACCAGGCTGTCAGTAGCCACTGCTGCTGGGAAAGGGAGGTACCCAGTGGAACTGTCTCCTTCAGTCCCTGTGACTGAACCACGGTGGTGGGGGGGGGGGGGGACACATCCCGAGAACTGGGGCGTGGAGCTGTGCAAGCTTCACAGATTGCTCACACCGGGAGGTGGTGATTTACCGTGTGATGTCATCTGAGGGGACCGTGCCATAGACATAGTCCCTGCAGACAGAAACGTCATTGTAATATACACAGCAGGAATTTAGAAATCTCTTCCTCTTTTTTTTGTTTGTTTTTTTTTTTGTTTGTTTTTTTCTGAGACAGGGTTTCTCTGTAGCTGAGGAGCCTTCCTGGAACTCACTCTGTAAACCAGGCTGGCCTTGAACTCACAGAGATCCATCTGCCTCTGCTCCTGAGTGCTGGGATTAAAGGTATGCGCCACCACCACCTCTCGGCATAGTGGGAATTTATTTTAAAATACGCGTGTCTACAGTGGGTGTGTGCATGTGAATGTGGCTGCCCTCAGAGGAGACAACCACAGCAGGCGGTTGTGAGCCACCTGATGAGGGTCCTGGGTATCCAAACCCAGGTTCTCTATAGCTGCAGCAGGGCTCTTAACTGCTTCAGCCTCCTAATTCATATACTGCATTTATTTATTTTGATTTCTTCCACTTAGAGAGCCATGAGTATGTAAATGTGCTCATGTGTGTGTATTACTAGGTTTTTTGGTATTCAGGATGGAGTTCAGAACTTTATGCATGCTAGATAAGTTCTCTACCACTGAGCCACACCCAGTCCTTCACTGGTGGACTCTAAGCAGGGGCTCTACCACTGAGTTACTTTACCCCAATTTCAGCCAAGTTTTATTGTTTTCTCTCCACCTGCGGAAGGAACCAGGGTCTTGAGTGTGCTAAGCTGCCTGTGAGCTGCATCCTATCCCAATTCATCAGTTAAATCTACAAACCTTGTGAGAATCAAGATGAATCCCTCCTTGGGCCCTGATCTTTCCTGTGGCCGGCATCCCTGCCCACTGGATCTGTGCCGGCAACTCAGAAGAGGAGAAGCCCAGATGGCTCCCTTCCTGTGAAAAGGAGAAAACTCAAGAGGACAGAGAAGTAAGCAGTCCCCTACTGAGGAGGCTAAGATCTGCTAAGAAAGAAAAAAGGAGATGTACGCTACTTTTGCTGTGGTTTCTCAGACTACAGAAGTTACAGACGGACAGACAGACACACATACACACACACTTAAACCTAAAGTAATAAAATAAAATATAGTCTAGAGGTGTGCCCACAGCACAGTGCCTGCCTGACCTGCAACAGAGCCCATACCAGCTAAACCAACCCAAAAGAATTGAAACTGGCGGTGTATAACTGTCCTCCAAGCTACTCAGAGGCAGAGACAGGAGGACTGTGTGTGTGGACCTGTGTGTGTGTGTGTGTGTGTGTACGTGTGTACATGTGTGTATGTGTGTGGACTTGTGTGTGCAAGTGTATGTGTGTATGTATAACTGTGTATATGTGTGTATACCTGTGTGTATGTGTACATGTATGTGTGTGAGTGTGTAGGTGTGTGTTTAAGTGTGGATGCCTGTGTGTATATATGTGTATGTGTGTGTGTTTGTATGCGTGTATGTTTACCTGTGTGTATGTGTACGTTTGTGTGTATATGTGTGTATGTGTTAATTGTGTACTTGTGTGTATGAGTACGTGTTTGAGTGTGTGTGTGCTTGCCCGTGCATGTGAATTTTGTTCTGCTACAATTCTCCACCTCATTTTTTGCGACCCAGTCTCACACTGAACCTGGAGCTCACCACCAGCTCAACGTTTGGTCCATGGTCTTCAGGGAGCTGCCTGTCTGTGCCTCTTCCTCCTACCCCCAGCACTGAGGTCACAGGGCACCTCAACGCTTTAAATGTGAGCCCTCGCCAGGTGGTGGCGGCCTTTTATCCCAGCCCTCAGGAGGCAAGGCAGATCTCTGCGAGTTCAAGGCCAGCCTGGTCTACAGAGCTAGTTCCAGGACAGCCAGGGCCACACAGAGAAACAAACCTAAATAAACAAGTTAATTTAAGGGGCTGGAGAGATGGCTCAGAGGTTAAGAGCACTGACTGCTCTTCCAGAGGACCCGGGTTCGATTCCCAGCAGCCACATGGCAGCTCACAACTGTCTGAAAATGCAGTTCCATGAGATCTGACACCTTCACACCAATGAACATAATAAAGTTAAAATAAAAAAAAATAAGTTAATTTAATTAAGTAAACTGAAGTCCTCAAATTTGCGCAATGGACATGCTGCTCACTGAGCCCTGTCCCCAGGTCTCACTTTGCATTTCTGAGGCAGGATCCCTACAGCCCAGACTGCCTTCACTATGCAGCTGAAACTCTACCTGATCCTCCTGCTTCTGCCTGCACGTGCTGAGCTTGCAGGAGTGAGCTAGCTAGCAGGATCTTGGTGCCTTCCTGCTGTGCAGCAATGGCAGAGGGCGTGCGTGCGTGTGAGTGTGTATGTATGTGTGTGCACGGGAGTGTGCGCGTGTGCGTGCATGTGTGTATGTGTGTGTGTGTATGTGTGTGTGTGAGTGTGTGCGCGCGCGCGTGTGTGTGCGCGTGCACGAAGGGAGGGGTTCTCAGCCTCTGCTCCTGTTAGAACTAATTCACTCCCACTCAGCCAGCTTCATCCACTCGTGACAGTGACACGCTTGTGATGTAGTCACTTCTTATAGCCCCACCTTTCAATACAGTTGGCGTGACAACTTTCCACGTGAGTTTTAAAGCACAGCAGGTGACAGCTGTAGGGTTAGGATCTCTCAGGAGGAATGTCACAGACGCGGCTGTCAGCCCGTCGTCATTCTTGATGGCTCAGTAGGTTAAAATTTATTTTGGTTGGAAGCAATAGAAACCCACTCAAAGTAGCTTTAGTGAGGGGAAGTGTACTATAAGGGAAAGGGATGTGAGAGACTCTGACAGAAACATTTTGGCATCGACTTGCAAAGCTGAATGTATGCAAGTTCTAGAAGCCAGAAACTGCTCTCAGGTGCGTCACAAAGAACCCTCACCCTGGCACAGACACCGCGGAGACTCCTCTTTGAAGCCGAGGGAGGTGGCAAACACCAGTAATCCTCGCACTTGGAGCACCGGCTGGAGGGCCAGGAGCTCAAGGCCAGGCCGGGCTCCTTGGTGAGTTCAGCGGCTGGAGACAGAGAAAAGGAAAACGGGCAACCCCTCAGCCTCCCTGGCTGAGAAACAACCTGCCTTCTGCCTGTGCCTGGGCCTCACTATGCAGCCCACGCTGGCCTTAAACTCACGGTCCCCTTGACCCGGAATGCTGGACTTACAGCCACATCAACATACCCACTTAGTCTGGAGGGGGAACCCAGGGCAGCACGCATGCTCAGTATGCCAACTCTGCCACTGAGCAACACGCCAGCCCCCAGAATCTTCATTCTTTGCAAACCACCCAGTCACAATCATGGACATTTGGAAGATGGTTTGAGCCTTTGCCTCAGGCTCGAAACTACGTGAAGTGATGGTGGGAGAACAGGCACATTTGGATGCATCCCTAGGGACCCTCGAGATGCACATAGCAGCTCCCAGGCCAGGAGTGCACAGACTCAGACTGGGGTGACCCACATGCAGCCTCATTCTGGGCAGCTCGTCAGCTATGACTATTCATCCCTGTTGCAATCACACGCAGGCACAGATCCCATGATGTGGCTGTCAGAATCCCTTATGACACTCTCAGCCATTCTGTCCTGTTCCACGTTTCCCTCTCCCCAGTCACCTGTGTGTGTGTAAGCATGTGTATATGCGTGTGCATGTGTGTATTCATGTGTGCATGTGTATATGTATGTGTATGTATGTGTGCATATTTGTGTATGTATATGTGTATATATGCATGTATGTATATGTGTATGTAGATGCACATGTGTATGCATGTGTGCAAATGTATGTGCGTATGTGTGTATGTATGTACGTGTGTGTATGTGTGTGTGTGTATATGTATGTGTGTATGTATGCGTGTGTATATGCGTGTCTTTGTCTCTGTCTCTCACCATCGCTGTAGAATAGTCCTCAGAACATAATACCTCTCGCCATTTTCATCAGAGCAACCGCACCTGCTCAGAAGAGACCCCCACAGTCAGGCTTATTCTGGTAAAAGTGTTTTCCCCAAGCTTAATGCCCTGAGTTGGGACCCTGGGATCCACATGGTGGAAGAAGACAACCAACTCACACTACCGTAGCCTCTGACCTCCACCCTTTTGTATATTAGCTAAATAAGTTAATATAATAAAAAATTTAAAATAATCCAGGTGATATTTTTCACAGAGTCTACAGTCACTAGTATAAACATCTGGGGAGCAGTGGAGACCTAGATCCAGTGACCCCGGGGAGGGAGGTGGCTCCTGGAATTGTGTACAGTGGTGTCTAAGGCACACATTTTTGGTCACAGTGGAGCAGTTGGAAAAGTTTAAAGGTGACAGAGGCACCTGGTGAGGGGTCTCTAGAGAGGACAAGGCTGGCTCAGGAGCTATTGGGGTTCAGGGCTCGTAGGCGCTGCAGACCCCAGTGTCCTCCCCAGACTCATCGTCTTCTGGACCTCCCGGAGCCTGTGCAACTAGGAAAAGAGAAGGCGGCTCTGGTGCCTGGGGTGTGGGCTGTCGTAGACAACGAAGGCTGTGAGCCTCAGCCATGACGCAGAGGAAGCTCGAGTGGGAAAAACCATGACGTGGTGGCCCAGGGGCCAGGATCTAGGACTGTGCACAGTCCTAAAACTAGGCGTGGCTATCATGCAGTGTGGGAAGGGGCCAGTCCTGGTCGGTACTGGCTTGGATCTGAAATGTAACCACAGGCTAACTTTTGAATGCTTCCTTCCCAGCTGGTGTCACTATTTTGGGGAGACTGGAATCTGCGAGGTGGAGTATGTCACTATGATGAGGCATTTTTTCATTTATTTTATGTGTATGAGTGTTTTGCCTGGATGTGCACCATGTGGGTGCAGTGTCCCCAGAAGTCAGAGAGGGTGTCAGATCCCCTGGAACTGGAGTTGAAGCCGTTAGAACCACCATCTGTGCGCTTGGAACCAAACCCACGTCCCCTGTAAGAGCATCTGGTACTTCCAGAGGTGGTACCTGGCCCTGGTTCCTGCCTCTCTCTCTACTCTCCTGGTCTGTGATTTGAACAGTCTGGGCTACATGCTGCCACTACCCAGCAATGAGCTGATCTGATATGCTGTCCCTCTACGGGGACTTTAAAACTCTGAACCCGTGGGTGAAATCAAAGCCTTGCTGCTTGAAGTTGTCTCTCTCCGGAAGAGCGGTCACACCGACATGACGGTAATGAATACAAGGATGTCGTCCAGAACTGAGTCAACTCCCCCACTCTCCAAGACCTTCATTGTCTGGGGCGTCTTAGCCTGCAAGGCCATGGACACTTCTACACCTGGGCAAGGAGACAGACACAGGATTTCAGGTGAGAACAACACAGTTGGGAGAAAAGGCAGAAGGAAAACATCCAGGGACAGGCTTGGAAGACCAGCGGAGAAGACACAGTTTGGTCAGCGGGGGAACATGTGACCCAGCGTAGGGGCGAGAAACTGGAAGAAGATGAAGGGACCAATGAAAGAAGCAGATGCGTGGGACCATTAGAAGACAGGCTGGGGCTGACTCCAACACAAACGCAGCTGCCTGGTCCCCAGGGGCCCCCGGGGAAGAGGCAAAAGCTGCACCCCACAGCAGCCTCTCTTGCTGGAGAGCAGGGTCACAGGTTAGCCCTTGCAGGTGAGGTGAATATTCTGCCATGCGAAAAGTAAGGAGGTTAGCCCCTGTAGGAGAGACGGAGGTTACCCCACACAGGAAGGACGAAGTTAGCTTCAATATGTCTTGTGTCCCCTGAAGATTGACTGCGCTCACCCCACCTCCTGAGCCTCTTACCCGGGTGTCTGTCTCTCTGGGTGGTTCAGAGTCTCCCACTGGGAACCTCGGGCCTCATGCTCCTCTTCATCTTCACAGTGTGGAAAACCTCAGCTCTTTCTGGAATCTCAGCCTGGCCTGGAACCACCCTGCCAGGTCAGCCAGGCGGAGCTGCAGAGGAGAAAAATGGTGTGAGGTCTGTACCCGCCGCCAGGGGGAGCCTCAGGCTCGGGGAGACCGGATCCTGGCAGAGCCTGCTGAACTTGAGAGAAAGGGAAATAAAAGCAAACCTCACCTAGGCCCTTGGGAAGGTGGCTTCACTGCAGGACCAGACTTGGTACCATTTTGGCTTGAGTCAAAGAGGAGGACGTGAAAGCCAGTATGGGAGAGTGTGTTAGGACTTGATGTCCCACCTCCTGCCAAAAATGGAATAGGCATGTTGGACACCCAGGCAATGTTTTCTAAGAGTAGGGTACTCAAATAGAGACTCTGCCGAGAGGTGAAAGACCTTCCAGAAATATCATTCTGCTGCCCTCACCAGCTCCATGCTTCCAGGACATGGAAGCCAGCCATGCCTAAGAGCCAGCCTGTGCTCTGCCAAAGGGGACAGAGTGTGAGACAGCACCCCCACTCCCACACCCACCTCGTGGGCAGGGCTTCTGACTTACCACCCCCATCCATGGAAGGCAGAAAACCCACCCGTATTTTCATTCATTCTAAGTAGGCTTTAAAAGCTGCTTGCATGAGTTCCTCGTGGCTGCTGTTACAACTCACCAGAGACTTAGTAGTTTAAAACTCAGACTTTACAGCTGGGCAGTGGTGGCGCACACTTTTAACCCCAGCACTCAGGAGGCAGAGGCAGGAGAATCTCTGAGTTCAAGGCCAACCTGGTCTATACAGTGAGTGTCAGGATAGCCAGGGCTACACAGAGAAACCCTGTCTCAAAAAGCCAATAATAGTAATAATAATAATAGCAATAATAATAATAATAAATAACCAATTAAGCAAACAAAAAACCACCAGACTTCCTGCTGATAAGAGGCTGGATCAGCAAAATATAATTCAAAAAGAAGCGTGTTCTGCCACGCGCTCTATCAGAGATGAACTCTGGGACACCATAGTAAGCTAGAGAAGTCAGGCATAAAAGGGCCAGCACTGAGGTTGCACCCATATGATGCTCCTGGTGAGGCCAGCTTCACAGAGATGGCCGGAAAGTGACAGCTTCCAGGAAGAAGAAGGGAATTCAGTGCTTAAATGGAAGTAGAATTCAATACATGGTGAAAAGACTTGCTATTCTGTTTTTTTTTAATTTATTATGTATACAATATTCTGTGTGTATGCCTGCAGGCCAGAAGAGGGCACCAGACCCCATCACAGATGGTTGTGAGCCACCATGTGGTTGCTGGGAATTGAACTCAGGACCTGTGGGAGAGCAGGCGGTGCACTTAACCACTGAGCCATCTCTCCAGCCCCTCTGTTTTGTTTTTTAAGGATTTATTTTTCCTTTATGTGTATGAGAAGCTGCATGTTTATAAGTGCATCCTGTGTATTTTATTGCATGTGGAGGCCAGAAGGGGGCAGCAGATCCTCTGGTCCAGAATTGGAGTTACAGACCATTGTGAACACCCGTGTTGGTGCTGGGAACTAAACTCAGGTCCTGTGCAAAAACAGCAGCGCATGCTCAGAACCGGTGAACCATCTCTCCAGCCTGCTGCTTTGTCTTTAAAAATAGGGCCGGGCGGCGGTGGCGCACGCCTTTAATCCCAGCACTCGGGAGGCAGAGGCAGGCGGATCTCTGTGAGTTCGAGACCAGCCTGGTCTATAAGAGCTAGTTCCAGGACAGGCTCCAAAGCCACAGAGAAACCCTGTCTCGTAAAACAACAAAACAAAACAAAAACAAACAACAATAAAAATAGGTTTGTTTGATTTTTTTTTTCTTTTTCGAGACAGGGTTTCTCTGTGGCTTTGGAGCCTGTCCTGGAACTAGCTCTGTAGACCAGGCTGGCCTCGAACTCACAGAGATCCGCCTGCCTCTGCCTCCCGAGTGCTGGGATTAAAGGCGTGCACCACCATCGCCCGGCCTATTTTTTGGGTTTTGTGTGTGTGTGTGTGTGTGTGTGTGTGTCTTTAAAAATAGGGAAGAACTAGGTAGCCCATGCTGGCCTCAAATGCGTGATTCTCCTGCTTCAGCTTCTTCCAAAGTGCTGAGATTCTAGGTGTGAACCACCTCACCCAGGAAGATGTAAAGACTTCGGGGAACCCGTTGCAGAACAACACAAGTGTGTTTGAGGTCACCAAACTGCACAGTTAATAACAAATATGGTGGGGCCAGAGAGACGGCTCAGTGAGTAAAGGCACGTGCAGCCAACCTGACAGCCTGAGCTCAATCCCTGAGATCCACACGGTGGAGAAGACTGGCTCCCCAAAACTGTCTTCTGATCCCCATTTGTGTGCCATGGCATATGCATTCCCCCCAAATAAATAATAAGTATAAAAAGATCCAATTAAAATGATGGTAAGATGTGTATTTTCCACAATAAAAAAAAATTGAAGTGGGGTCTGGAGAGATGGCTCTGAGGTTAAGAGCACTGGCTGCTCTTGCAGAGCTTCAGAGTTCGGTTCCTAGATCCCACACTGCACGGTCCATAACCACCTTCACTCTAGCTCCGTAAGCTACACATGCATGCACACATGTATAGATAGAAAATATTAAATGTTTTAAGCTAAGCAAAACAAAGAAGAGCAACCTGCACTTAGAAGCAGACACCACATGGAGAAAGTAGCCTGCACTGGGGATGGGCGTCATCTCAGGGCTGCTCTGCTTCTGGGACTGAGGCGCCATGTTCCCTGGCTTCAATCCCTGCCCCCTCTCTGCCCAGCTCCCAGGCCCTCACCTGTCGCTTTCCTCTGAGGCTCTGGGTTTATTCTAAAGACAGCAGGGCCAGCACCCACACCCTGGGTCACAGCTCCGTGTTCTTGAGACATGCACATGCATGGTGCTCAGGAGAGGGACACCTGGGTGCTGCTGCTCAGGCTCCACTCACCTGCCACACTGGGCTCTCAGACACAGCCGCCCCTGTGCTTGTCCCTGGGTGACCCCGAAGCCTGTCTCCCACCACACTGCCTCCTGCCACGCATCTACGCTCTTTTTCTGCTTCTCAGTTACAGCAGTTATGACAACTGCCTCAGTGGCGTCTTCTCAGTGTGCAGAGGAGGGAAATGGGAATTAGCACATCATGGGGAAAATGTTTTGATCTCTGCATCTGACGAACACTGGGTTCCCTTGTCCTGTGCGCCCTCAGTGGCACTGGGGAGGATGAGGAGGATGAGGAGGCTTTGAGAGGAGAGTGGGTTCTCTGTGTGACAGAGCAATTTGGCAAACCTGGAAAGGCTGTCTCCTGAAGGAGACATTTTAGAATCAAAATGGCAAGGATCAGGGAGATGGCTCAGTGGGTAAAGTGTTTGCCACTCAAGTGTGAGGGCTGGGGTTTGGATCCCCAGAATGCATATAAATATCTGGTGGAATCTGGTGACCTGCCTGTGACCCTGGCACACAAAGGTGGAGACAGGGGTCCCCAGGGAAAGCTGTCTCTCTGACACAGTGAGCTCTGGCTCAGTGAAGGACCCCACCTCAGTAAACAAACTGGAGAGTGATGGAGGAAGACACCGGATGGCCACTGACATCCTCCACTTGCACACACACACATACACACACACGAACACACACACACACACATACACACACATACACACACATGCACACACACATACACACACATACACACACACGTACACACATGCACACACACATACACACATACACACACATACACACACACGTGCATGCACACATGCACAAATGTGCATGTACGCAAGCATGAGCACACACCACACGCACATAAAAACAGGAGAAAACACACCATCACGTTTGACACTCAGGCCTACATCACGTGGGGCACAGGAGAGGAGGGGTTGGGAGAGAGGAGGGGTCTAGGATGCTCCTATTGGAAGACACGTTCAGATGTAACCATCGGTCCATGAGAGCAGTGTTTTCAGTCCACCTTGTAGACAATAGATGAGCATTTGGAGGGGGCTACAGAGTCTCACGTAGTCCAGGCTGGTGAGAAGCTCAAAGAATGGACAAGGATGACTTGAACTGACCCTCCTGCCTCCACCTCCTGGGTGCAGGATTTCAGGCATGGACTATCACCAATGGACTATGCACATCCTGGTTTACTCTGGTCTCTCTGGTCCAGAGAAGCTGCCGTGTTAAAGGGCAGGTGGTAGACAGCACACGCTGCAGACATCCACAGTAAGGCTCGTGAGAAGCAAGGCTGAGGACGTGACTCAGAGGGTCAGTCCCTGCCTAGCATGCATGAAGCTATGAGTTCAGGTCCCGGCACTGCCTGAACGCCGATGTGGTGGCTCATGCCTGTCATCCCAGCAGGCAGGGGATGAGAAGCTCAAGGGAAGCCACAGTAGGTTTGAGGCCAGCCTGGGCTACAGGAGACTGTGTCATCATGAAGCCTTGTCTTTGGGAAAGGAATGCTGAGTCACCTCTCTGAGCAGCACACTGACTCCACGCAGGTTCCAGAAGAGAAGAAGACAGAGTGCAGAGAACCTTATCCACCAGGGCGTCTTTGGTGAAGCGAGAGTGGCTATTGTTAGAGCCCAGCACACTGATGAACTCCTGCAACCCCAGCATTCCAGAGGGGAAATGGGAGAAACAGGAGTCTGAGGCCATCAGCTATACAGCAACCTGGAGGCAAGCCTAGGCTACCAGAAGCCCCGTTTCAAAAGCCAAAGCAAAGCATAGCACAGAGAAGCCTGCTGCCAACACCTGGAACCACAGAGACGAGATGCTCCCTGAAAACCCAGGAAGAGCCCAATACAAATGACTTGCTGTCATCTCAGATGCAGAAAACAGTAGCCCAGGCTAGACCACGGGGGCTCAAGGCAAGCAGGAGTGTCCCTGGAGAGCTGAAGTGGTGGCTCCTTTGCCATGAGAGCCAAAGAAAGACTCGACGCCAAGACTCACACGACACACCACAGGTCTTTTCTCAACTTGTATTTGCAGATTGTTTACAAAAGTAGAAAAATAGACATTTTGTGGGTCTGAGAACCCACACACATAAATAAATACTTTTTAAAAAGTCACGAAGGGCTATAAATTAAGGCGGGGGGCTTGTTGAGTCCACACAGTGCAGCTGGTAGGAGGGTCTGAGCTCAGGCACACTGATCTCCCATGGCCACACACTTCAGGTCCCGGAGGAGCAGGCGCATGAGGTTGGAATTAACAGAGTCCTCCAGGCAGCCGGGGGTCTCCTGAAAGGACAGAGCTGGCTCAGGGGCTGCCGGGACTCAGGGCTCTCAGGTGCTGCAGATCCAGGTCCCCTCTCTAGACTCACCTTCTCCTGGGCCTCCTGGAGCTTGTGCAGCCAGCGGGAGAGGCGGTGACTCTGGGACCCGGGCTCTGCTGTGGGCTGAGACTGTGTCTGTGGACAGAGGAGGGGACTGTAAGCCTGCTGCTGAGACACAGGAAGTCCCCGTGGCTGGAGGCACAAAGTGGAGGAGCTGGGGACCCAGGACTCACACAGGCCTGCAGCTGGGACTGGATGTGGCGCAGTGTGTGAAGAGGCTGGTGCAGGATGGGGCCCAGGGCTGAATCAGTCACGTTCTCCAGGACCTCCAGTGTCAGGGCCAGATCAGCCTGCAGGGCCTTGGGGCGCTCCTGGACCTGAGCAAGGAGACAGGAGAGAGAACACGTGAGGGACCCAGGGAGGGGAGGTCAAGGGGGACTGGTCAAGGAGACAGGACAGTGAACGGGGCAAGGGACAGAAAGAAGCAGAGGGCAGGGGACAGATGACAGATCTGCTGTGGACAGAGACGGGGAGAGCAGAGGCCCAACAGGGGGATGCTCAGGGCGGGCCGGGTCTAGCCTCAGCTCACCTGCAACTGCTGTAGGTCCCAGCCTCTGGGGAAGAGGCGGGAGCTGCACTTGACATCTTTCTTGAGCAGCCACTCTTCCTGGAGAGCAAAGACACAGGTTAGCCCATATAGGAGAGTCAAGGTTAGACCACTGCATTGGGGCAGGGGTGGTCACAACAGGAAAAGGGAAGTTCACTGCCAGATAGATGGTGGCTCCTCCGTGGCTGCAGATACTAGACAGCTACTGTACTAAGAGTGAGAGATAGCCCAGTTTGGGAAGGATGGAGGTCCCTGCTGTGGGAGTCTGAGGTTAGCTCACTGAGGAGAGGGAGGAAATTAGCCCACCGGAGGACTGTGGGCTTCGAATACTACAGAAAGAGTGGATTATCTGTCCCCACTCAAGAAGGGTGGTGATTAGGCCTACTGCTGCAGGAAGGGCTGAGGTTAGCCCACTCTAGGAAGAGTTGAAGTCTGCCCACTGCAGGAAGTGTCAAGACCACTTTCATCCCACACTTAGCATAAGGGGTGAAGCCCAGAAAGGGAGGACTGGAGGCTATCCACTCAGGAGGGCAGACGCAGACTCACTATGGCATCCCTGGCCTTCCTGAAGGCCTTCAGCTCCTGCGGGGCCAGAGACTTGAACCGGGCTAGGTGGCATTCCTTTGCATCTGGTGGGAGCCTGGTGTCCCCAGGCACAGGATGAGCGCGGGTTCCCGTCAGCACCGCGGCCAGCAGCAGCAGGAGGAGCAGGCAGCCCCCAGCTGTTTCTGAGTCACAGAAGGACAGAGTGAGGGCTGGAGGAAGGGGGCCGTGTGGACACGCCCCCACGCACCAGTCTGGGGCCTCACCTGGCTTCATGCTGCTCTCTGGGGTCTGTGAGGAGTTGGGGATTCGGGTGTGCACTCGAGGCTGTCCCCGGGTTCCTCGGTCTTGCTCGGCGTTTCTTTGTGGCTCTCAGCCTGTTGCTGTGTCCTGGCTGAGACTGTAAGTTTTCTGTGCCTTGCCATCCCAGCTCCATGCTTTTAACCTGGCCTCGTGGGCAGCCCCGGCTGATGTAGGAAAAGCGAAAACAAGGCTGGAGATTGACACCAGCCACCAGAGCAGCCCGGACTGGGGAAGCCCGGGAGCAGGGCGGGGCCCTAGCAGGTGAGACTCCAGCGAAAGAGAAAGTGAGGAGGAAACATCACCTGGGGCAAAGTGAGTCAGGAGAGTCAGTCCCACAGGAAGCGCCCAACAGGGGCACGTTCAGGACCCAGCACGGGTCCTGTGCCACGTCCGGCTCTGGGATGCAGAGATTTTGCAGCTATAGAAAGACCTGCCTTCTGCTCAGTGTCCCACCCAGGGAGTGGAAGGGATTCCCAAGAGTCGCCCAGGGGACATAGATTTGCCTGCAGGCCTGGGAGGCTCAGAGTCAGGAACCCCATGACCCCACTTCCTGTGAGAGAGAATGCAGTTGGCCAAACGCACCATGAAGTACTCTTTCTTCTCTCTTTAGACCTTCAAAGTTTTAGACTTCCTACCGGGATTTTCATCCAGTGTCTGTGTTGATATTCTCCCTGGATTCCTCTCTTCTACTTCCAGTTTTCCGATTTCATGTTGCATGTGCTCCCCGCCCCCCTCCTCCTCCAAAACCTCGTTTTCGCTCCCCAGGCCCACTTTCTAGTTTCAGGCTGTGTGGGAGGCTCCCGTGTGACGGGAATGTGTGCTGTCTGAGTCTGAGGTACCACTCTCTCCCGTGATAATATCCTGTCCTTTCATTGCCCTGAACTTTTTGCAGTTTCACTTTTTCTCTGTGGCTGAGTGAAATCCTGCCATATATGTTTCCCACGTTTCTCCTTATTTGTTAGCTGACAGACAGCTGTGCTGGTCTCCTTTTCTGTTGCTGTGGCTAGGGCAATTGCGACCACAGGAGTGCGAACGTCTCTGTGGTGGGGCTTGGAGCCTTTTGGGTTTTGTCCAGGTGTGAAGCTGGTTGTTCTCTTTTCTATGTTGTTTTGTTTTGTTATTTTATTTTATTTATTTATTTTTTTCTGAGACAGGGTTTCTCTGTAGCTTTGGAGCCTGTCCTGGAACTAGCTCTTGTAGACCAGGCTGGTCTTGAACTCACAGATCTGCCTTCTCTGCCTTCCGAGCGCTGGGATGAAAGGCGTGCACCACTACCTCCACCTCTATCATTGGAATTCTGATGGACCTTACAGCGCAGATATAGATTACATATGGTAATATAGTCATTTTCCCAATATTGATTTTGCAGGTTCAGGAGCCTGGAAGAGATGTCTTCTTAACGTCTAGTGCTGTCCTCAGTTTCTTCTTTAAGAGTCTAAGTTTTCACTGTAGAGTGGCCTCCCTTATTAGATTATTCCCTGGTGTACCTTTGCTTACTTATTTTTGCTTACTTATTTTTGTTAGGAAATTTTGTTACTTAAAATTTGATTCCACACATGGCTAGGACCACTCTCTCCTCTTCTACCTATTCCCCACTATTTATCTCACCAAAACAACTGTGAATGAAAAATTTTTCCTAATTCATTCTCAGTAAATTTATTATTGGCGTTAAAGAAAACTCTACTGATGGTTTGAGACAGGGCCTTGTGCAGCATGGCTGGACTTCAAATCAACGTGTAATGACCTCAGACTTCTGATCCTCCTGCCTCTGTCTGAAGGCTGAGATTCCAGGTGTGCTCCACCAGGTCCCGTTTATGCCGTCCTGGAACCTGAACCCAGGACTTCATGCGTGGCAGACAACACTCCATCGCCTACTGTTGGGTGCAGCCCCAGCTCCATAGCAGCTCCTGGTGCGTGTAAACTGTTGTATCCTGCGATGTCGCTGCGAGTGTCTGTCAGCTCTGATGTTTTCTGGGGGACTCCAGAGGGTTTTTTTGTTTTTGTTTTTTGTTCATTTACCCTCTCCTCATCCTTGTATTTTGGGGAAGGGGAGGAACAAGTTCTCTCTATGTAGCCCAGGCTGGCCTGGGTTCTTTGTGTAGCTCAGAATGACCTTGAGCTTCTGTCCCTCCTGCCTCTGCCTACTCGTCCCGTCCTGGAAGATCTGCTCTGATATGGGTGTGACCAGGATCTCCATGTAGGTGTGTGTGTGACAAAAGCCTTGTCCAAGGTGATGAGGAAAACCATTTATCATGGAGCTTTCTTTAAAAAAAAATTTATTATTTATTTAGTTATTGGTTTTCCGAGACAGGGTTTCTCTGCCCTGGAACTAGCTCTGTAGACCAGGCTGGCCTCGAACTCACAGAGATCCCCACGTCTCTGCCTCCTAAGTGCTGGGAGTAAAGGTGTGTGCCACCACTGCCTGGCTATTTTAATTCTTTGTGTGGCAGTGTATTCCTACATGTATGTTTGTGCATCTCTTGTAGCCAGAAGATGTCATGAGAGCCCTGAATTGGAAGCTATAGGTGGTTGTGAGCCATTGTGTGGGTGCTGGGAATCAAACCCAGGTCTTTAGTGCCTTTAGCCATGGAGCCATCTCCTCAGACCTAATTTTTCCATTTCTTAAGATGCTTACATGTACTGATTTCACAGGAATTCTGCATATTTTAAAAGATATGCACCTGGGTCTGGAGAGATGGCTCAGTGGTAGAGAGCACTGGCTGCTCTTCCCGAGGACCCAGGTTCACTTCCCATCACCCACATGGCAGCTTACAACTGTCTGTAACTCCAGCTCCAGGGGCTCTGAAACCTTCATACCAATGCACATAAAATATAGTTAAATAACTTTTACACATTTAGAAAAAGCTATGCATCTATGTGAACGGTTCCTGGCCAGCTCTGATAGCACAGGTTAACCTGGAATTCACTATGTGACCCAGTCTGGACTCAAACTCATGAACCTCCTGTACTCGCTTCAAAATACTAGGATTTGATTCTCTCTGTAACCAATCTGTGTGAAGAAGCCAAGCATACATTACCTCCCTTTAGAAACCTTTTATATAAATTCGGTCATTTGTCTCTGAGTGGAAATGCCATCAGCAAGGGCTGATTCTTTTCTTTTTGTTTTGCTTTTTTGAGACAGGGTTTCTCTGTGTAGTCCCAGCTGTCCTTGCACTCATTCTATAGACCAGGCTGTCCTTGAACTCAGAGATTCTCCTGGCTCTGCCTCCTGAGTGCTGGGATTAAAGGTGTGCACCACCACTGCCCGACTGCATTTTTTAGTAAACCATTTAATATTCTAATACACAATGGGCCTGGGCATGGTGGCCGCCAGAAATCTGGGGTCCAGCTACTACTAGAGGAAGAGGTGTTAGCACCTAGTGTCACCTTCCTGGGATCCTCCATTGTTCTATGTCCACAGGACACCCAACCCCACCTCCACCACCATGTGGTTCCATTTCTGCCCTCAGGAGGCCATGGCATCAGAGACCATGGTCAGGGCCCCCACAGGTCAGACCTCTTCCCCTAGAGACTCTCTCAGGTTGGCTAAGACTCGGGATCCACAGATGGTCAGTGACGGTCACACCAAGGAGGTGATAGTGACATGGAGGGGAGGAGACTGCCTGGACTCCAGTGGCCTCTTCCCACCCAGCATCCCTCCTCCTCACCATGCTGTGTACTCAGTGCCTGCTGCTACAGCAGGGCCTGTCCTCCACTGTCCCCTGGATGGTGTGCAGAGCGCTGCCCGCTTTGGCCAATGGTATCTGGATGGTCCGTGGCGGCTTTTATGGGCCTAGATGAGAAACAGTTCACAACCGGTTTCCCCAACTACCTTTTCAGATGATCAACTCTGGCTCCAGGCCCTGTGTGGTCTCAATCAGCGAGAACTTTACCAACCAGTAATCCTGTGCCAGGGTGGCAGCTGCCCAACCCTCAGATAACAAACTCCAGTTTTCCTCTCCTGAGTCTGGCTTTGCCTCAGCCTGTGTTCTTTCTTTTTACTGTAACTGTAATCAGCTCTTCTATAGAAGTCACTGCCTACCAAGTTCTTACCATCGGATGCATGCCGGTCATATATTCTCATTACCAGAAAGCTTCCAGAAGTGAGGTTCCACCATAGGCAATCCTGTAGACGGAACACTGAGCCCCTAAAACATAAATAGATTTCCCCTACATACACAGATTTCTCTAAGTGTCAGGGTCTGGGGTGTGGCTCAGGATAGAGCACCTGGCTAACGTCCCCCAGTGAGGGGCTGGGGGTGGGGCTCAGGGTAGAGCACTTGTTTTAACTCATCTTGAGGGGCTGAAGTTGGGGCTCAGGAATATAGGGCTTGCCTGGCAGGGGCAAGGCCCTGAGTTCCATCTCCAGCAAGGGAAATGATGACAATTTTTTTTCTAATGTTGCTACGGCCCAAGACCTTTATTTCTAACTCTATTTCATTTTTTTTTGCTCCTGTATATTTATAGACCCTCTTTTTGTCTTCTCTATACCTGTCCATCTCTTCCTGTGGATCCATCCACCCTCCTCCTCTCTTTCATATAAACACCCCATGGATGTTTGTCTCTATTGCAACATCTCTGTTTTACTTCAAACATTAAAGCTCCTACTTCTTTTCCTGATAAAATTAGCAATTTGTGTTCACTGGATGAAGCTTGATAATCACAGAACTCCACGGTACCATTGCCTCCCTCGTGTTTCACTTCTCACCCGCAGTAGTTTTTCCAGTGCACAGGGAGTCCCAGTGCGCTTCCGTGTTGGCTCATAAGTACGCCATCCCCAGCAAAGCTTCCAATCTGAACAGCTGCACTCAGTCTTGAATCCCACCTCGGGGAGGTGCATCTATTTTTGACAATTTGTAAACAGTTCTTTCCTCCCCCCAACCCCCACCCCCGTCTGTGAGCAATGTCTTCCAAATTGGATCCTTACTGTCTACAGTTTGGTAGCCTGCCTTTTACGTTTTTTACGTTCTCCC